TGATTCCCCAACCGGATCTGTTGGCGTGCACTGGCTCGTACCGGGGTTGGGGGAATCTGAGCAAGCAAGTTCCAGTAAGCACCTTCACGGGTAAGCTCGCTCGTTCTACCCGCAGAACCCGAGATTTCTCCAGGAAAATTGCCTTTCCACTTTCCACTGTGATACCATGGCGGGAACTCCTGCGCAATGAAAGATTCTTCCCTTGCAAAGGGGTATGGCTCCCTCAGGGTACCAATTGCAACCAACTTGCTCAAAACGGTGTCCTGGCAAAAATAAAGGGGACCAAGTCCTTTGATAACCCCTGTGGCCAGGCAAGGATAATATACGGGTTTGTGTCAAAAACAGGGAACCCCCCCAAAATGGGTGGTTTCCTTTTGGATTCCCTTTAAACCAACCTGCACAAAGGGTACCCTCAGACAAAAGACAAACCCGAATAAGGTTCCCTGGTATCAGCAGAGTTGAGAAATCCAACTCCATTCCCTGCTTATGGCGGCATAGCGCAAACTCGGCCAGGGACGGGAGATGGGTCGGTCTCCCCCCCACAAAAAGAAAGAAAAACAACAACAACACACTTGTTCCCAAACAACTGAAATGAATCGAACCACCCCACCCTCAGCCACCACCATATGAAGCACTGGCAAACTGGCTTAACAATGTGCTCTTGCCATTGATAGTCAGCCCTTATCGTCTTCGGGTTTCACATCTGTGCAGGGCTGTCTTGCAATGGTATTTTCTTTCGAGCCCCCAATCGTTGTCCATGCGAATCACAGGGTAGACTGTAAACAGTGATGTGTTCATCCTAACTTACGTTGGTTGCGGATTCCCTTTTGCCGGGAGTGATATGACCAACCCCAAGTGGAAGCTTGGCCCTCGGCCCGCGCGGCAAATAAGTCTGTTTTGAGTACCCAGACTCCGCCTCAGCTTCGAGGCCTGAGCTGTCTGAGGCACGTCTGGGGTTGGGGGATTCCAGCCCTTGCTCAAACCATGGACAAAATCCAACATTTTCACAACCTCGCCGATGGGTTTGAATGTTAACTTTTGTAGGTTGAAACACATGTGTTCTCAAAAAAACCGTCCGGCTCTTCAAAGGAAGGCTCTGGTTGCTGAAACCTTAGCCTTGCCATCTCCGGCTATCGTGTCACGTTTCTCCCATCGCCTCGTGCGTAAAGAAAGCGAGTGATAAATTCGTGGAGTGCGAGACATTTTGTACGTGACTTGGCGTGGGTGTGAATTTCAATGGGACCCGGACCTCTGGTGGACAAAACAAATCTGTAGGCATTCAGGCAACCGCAAACCACTGAGGTGGGTTCCGAAACTAAAAATCAGAAGGCCATGTGTCCTTTTTACATGCACCCAAGCATGCCCGTTTGTTTGAGACACAGCTGAAACATGTCAGAGAATTATTTATGCTGCAGACAACCAAGAACGGGACGTCTTCGAGGGCACCCTGAGCTTATCTTTCAAGCCAAACTACCTCAGCTTTTGTTTTCTCAGAAAACATCAATATATCTTGATGCAATTCTGTTTTAGTTGAATCTGAAGATAACATAGTATAAACAAAGGTCCCGGCAAAGCGAGGACACCACACAAATGGGGATTGCATCCCTAGCTGGCCACGTAGTCACTTTAAACATCACCCCAAAAGACAACTCGCCTAACATTGATCCAGAAAGTGGTGTTGAACTGCCCTCCCGCAAGGGATAATTCACAATGGTCTTCCAGCACGTGGGAGGGTGTTCTTTTGCGGGAAACTCGAAATCCAAACAACGCCATCAACAACACATCCCCTGGTTCTGGCTTCCTGGGGAAATTCAAACATGCTATTATCCAAATGTCTCAGCACTTGGCAGTTAGCAGCGAAACAAAAACAACTATCTCACCGAGAATCAATCCAAAGAGGGATGTTCAACTATCCCACCAACATGGAAACCAAACAGAATCAGGGCTTGCTTGTTGACCTCGTTTTGGGAGTTTCCACACGGACCCCCAAAAGGGTTTCTAGACTTGGGGGTGCGATGAGACAGATTCCCTCAAAACTTGGGAATATGGTTGTGCAGGGCGAGGGGTGGGCCGGGGAGAATCGAACCTTTTGAGCGGGGGGCCCAAGCAACGTGAACAACTCCACCCCTGGTCCGCCCGAAACGCCTGCGGGACTTGCACCAGATGCGTGTGAGCGCCTTGATGGCGGTTTGGATGCTTTGGCGCCTCGATTCGAATCGCGTGATTTCATCATAGCCTGGGGGTTTCCCTCGAGGTTATAAGGGAAATCTAAAGCTGACGATATTGGCTACGGGCACCGCAAATTGATTTGCGCCCCTTGACTCTACTGGGGTCACACGGCCTTTGACCGAAAACGATGGCCATGCGGAGTATTACGCATTTTTGCTGTGCAATCCATTGTTTGACATATATGCGGGTTGCATGCGGGTCGTATGCGCCACTGACCGAGAAACAAATGCCTACAAGGCACGGCGCAAGCTCATGCGGGGTCAGGTGGGTACTGGGGCAAACCTCGAGAGTATTTCTTCAAGGCCCCACACTATTTGCACGAGAAAACAATAGAGCACCCAGAGCCGACACCCATCACGCGCAAAACCGAGATTACGAGAGCTCATTGCAGAGAACCATACTGAGCGAAGTGCAGAAATCACCTGCACATGAATGCATTGTGCAGTAAGATCGAGGGGAGCGATGAGGAGCCCACCCTGATTTCCCGTACAGAATGGGCGCAGAAACGGTAGATAGCAATATTCATTGGAGAAATGCGAGGGGTGCCAGACCCCCCAAGTGCGTGGATCCGGAGGATTCACCCAAATGAGAGGTAATCCGCCTACCCCATGCCTGGTCCAGAATGGACCATGCTTTTGGCATGGGGGCGCTTTGTTGCTTTTGTTGATATGCTTTCTATAAGTTTAATGTGAAACAATTATGTATAATTATGTGTATATATATATATATGTCATATATATATGTCCCTTGGGGGAAAATACGCCGGCTAGATTTCTGGATGTCTGGATGTCTGGATGTCTGGGTGTCTAGATGTCTGGATGTCTGGATGTCTGGATCTCTGGATCTCTGGTGTCTGGATGTCTGGATGTCTGGATGTCTGGATGTCTGGATGTCTGGATGTCTGGATTTCTGGATGTCTGGATCTCTGCATCTCTGGCTCTCTGGATGTCTGGGTGTCTGGATCTCAGAATCTGGATGTCTGGATGTCTGGATGTCTGGATGTTCTCCCCCCCCCTCCCCCCCGACAGCCCCCTCCCCCCCCTCCCCCCGTGCATCTGCGTCTGTCTTCGTGTCCGCGAAGACCCCCCCCCCCCCGCGTGTCTGTCTGTGTCTCTTTGTGTCTGTCTGTGTCTGTCTACGTATCTGCGTCTGTCTTCGTGTCCGCGAACAGGTCGGTGCACGCGTGCCTTCTCTCTCGCCCGGGCCGAAATTATAATGTGTATGGGGGCGGCGAACCAGGCCGCAGGCCATTAAATAACACGTGATACCACTGTCGGCGGACACAATCTTGGCTGTCCACCCTCCTTGGTGTGTCAAAAACCCTGGTTAACAAGCGGCAAGAGCGGCTTGTATGTAGAGCACATCCTGCTTGGCCTGTACTTACTAGGCGGACCCCAAGAATGTTGGTTCTCGCTTTGGTCTCCCTGTACGCCAACCTAAAAGTTCAACAAACACAAACCTCGAGGGTGGTCATCCCCTTCCCTCGCGTCTGGGCACAGAGACGGCGATGGGTTCGGAGACGTGGCCCCCACGCTGACTCCGCTCACGTCAAAGGTAAGGTCGCAAATGAGGTGGAAATCCTTGGAAACACAAACAGGAACCGGCACACGCTTAAGATGGCCTGGGGGAATCACTAAATGGAGTCTCCAATCCTGGTTACAACTTGTAAATCACAAAATGGGGACTGGGTGATCACCAGTATTGCACTGACTACTTAGCTGAGTCCCAAAGCATCCAAGCACAAGTTAACATGGTAACATGAAGCCGAAAAGCAAAGCACATGCTAAGATGAAAGTTATGTTTTTTGGACCCCCCCCCATTTTGGTTCCATGATTTCCATGCGAATTTGCAGGGGACAATCAGCAAAGTTCAAGCATCTTTCGTTTCAACGGATGTCGTCTTTAATCTGAAACCCGACCTGAACCATCCTCTTGTTGCTTTATTTCATGCAGCAGCAGATCCTGCTCCAGTTCATTCACAAAATCCCTTCAGAAAATTCCCCAAAAAAAGAACCAGCGAGAATAAGAGAGTCGCCTTTGGGCTTGCCACCAAATTTAGTCCCAACCGCCGAGTGATTTTGGTGATTAGGGCTCTCACTTGCAGATTTCAATCAGGGCTCCTTGGCTCCTCGAATGTCCACATGTGGGATATCGGCCTTTCTGCGATACCAAAGCGGGATTCCTACTCCTATCACTCTACAAAACATTGTTTCCCACAACCATTCACCTTACCCCTGGTTGGTGGATTGGATTGGTGGATTGGATTGGTGGCTTGGAGATTATGGGGGCTGCCCTTTAACTTTCTGTAGGGACCAGGGGTTCAAAATCTCCAAGCCACCAATCAAAACTAAAACGCAAGGGTTCCTAAAATCAGGAAAACCAGGGTCTGCGCATGGCATTGGGGGATTCCTTACTACCCTCTTTCCATCACTGACTTGCGGTCAAGTGGAATGACAAAACTCAAAGCCAAGCGACTGATCTTGGCCTCCAAGCTGGCCTTCCCAAATGGTCTTTGCGTACAGGAACTAGGGCTTGAGACATCATGGAAGTGCAAAGATTTTGAAGCGAATCATTTTCCCTTGCGATCGTTGGTGAACATCACATGTTCCACAGGAGTCAAGAAACGCATGCTGCCGATGGCTCTAATGACCTGCGGTCCTTTTCCGCGGATGACGGCACATAACCAACTCTGTCTGAGACGGGGCCTCTCCAAGAGACTCCCGCGGGTGCCTTCTCTTGGTGTAGGGAGGGTAAACCTCCGCACATCGAGCCTTAAATGCTCACAACATATCCCAGCCTCTTCTGCCAATCTCTGTACATGGGAGCTAAGGTAGCATTCGTCATCAGCGCAGCTGCCTTCGATTCGCAGGCCCTTGGTCACGCAAATTGCACCCCTGGGGCTGAATCCGTGCTGAAGACATAACTATCGGTGAATAAAGCTAAGGTTAGAGTCCATACATTAGAAGTTCTTGGCTGCCAAATGGACCTGGACAAAATCGAAAACATACCCCTTCAGGCAAATTAAACAACATGTAATGTGGGTTAGTTGGCACCCAGGTTCGCTTGGAGCGAATATGGATCGCTAGGCGCTGCGAAAAAAGCTGCAAAAGGTCTCTGCTACGAAGTCTCGATTCAAAAATATCGTGGGTTCAGATCGGGGGCTGTTGCGCACAAAGAGATCCAGATTCCTCTGACTTGGCGGTTCCAAATGGGGGGATTCTTATGAATAGTCCATTTCATTCATGCTGGGCACTACTATAATGGAAACTGCAACTATCCGGCAAAGGATTCTGGGTTCACGTTGGGGTGCCTCTTTTTCAAGTCAGCGGTTCTTTGAAGCCAGTGAGTTGCCATGGGAAAAAAGTGCATCTGCCCTAGTTGGTTGAAGGAGCCCTTCCACATGAAAACCAGGAGGTTTGCTAACCCAAGATCGTACCAAGCCTCTGCAAATAGAGAAAATACCAAGCTGGTGCCGATGTTGTTTCCTCAAAACACGTGACACGTAAATACAGAACTAGATGATACACGTATATATATATATATATACATATCATACATGCGTATAATTCGGACACCTGCTGGAATACGCCGGAAATACAACAGGGCATGTTCAGGACATGAGAGGGGCATCATTAAACCTGGATGTTCGGTTGAGCGAGTCCTCCATCTTTGATCCATTCAAATTCTTGAAGTGGAATTAACAGATTGGTTCTCCCAACAGAAACTTCTGCTAGAACAAAATGCTAGCTCCGGATTAAGGGGAACCCTTGGAAGACCTCTCAGGGTCGACCAGGGGCTCTGCTTAATCCGGGGTCTACATTGAACACAAGCGGTTTCTCCAGGTTCCAACTCAATCTGCGTGTGTCCTTTTTTGAATGTGCCTGTTTTTTGGTAAGTTTAAAGGGGAAACCAGCCAAGAAAAAAAACTCAGTTTGTTTCTTGGTCACCTCAGTTGCCCAAAGAAGAACCCACCAAAACAAGGCCACTTCGGAAATTGGGCCATGAATAAAAATGGACCGACAAGGGAAAGCCAAACGGTTAAAATTGGTCAACCGAAAGCCGAACCTTGAAGTCAAGTCACTCGTGCTCGGGGTTCGCGAAGCGAGACGGGTCATGCCTTCGGCACAGATGCAAAATTGGTAGTGGGAAAAGCCCGGGTACTTCGAAGGTCTGGGAGATAGCTAGATGGTAGCTATCCCTGGTTACAACCTACTTAGGGGACATACATCATATCCGCGGTTGCTAACAACTTAGCTAAAACCAGACCATCCCTCTCTCTCTCTCTGCAGCATCCTCGAGCAGGTCTCGCCAGACCATCTAAGTATCCTGTCTTTGGCCCCCTATTTTTGGCCCCCAACCATTTTGGGGCCCAGGAACTAAAGGTTCGGGGTCGGACAAAAGGCCCCCTCACGTGGAAACGAAGCCAGGCAGTTTCTGGGGCCAAATCCCAGAAATGAGGAATCGCACAGTATTAGAAGAATGGCTCGGCCTTTCTGAGCTTTTGTGCCCCAGCTCTAATGCGAAAGTCATTTCAACGTCCAACCTCAAAAATGACTTAAATCCCAGAAACTCAGGAAGTGAGACTATGTTTGAACCTTGCAGCAACTATTCGCTTTGGACCGTAAGTTTTTCAGATGGAACTCAACGGAGGCACCCTCCCACTTTTAGCCAAACATCTTTCAGGATATGGCTATGGCGGGGAGGCATCCCGACGACCTGGACTGTGATATCAAGTTTGCCTTCAAATGATCACTTTACAACACCGAAAGGCGCCGGTCGATTCGCATTAAGAAAAAACGGAGAACGGCGCATCGTGCGGTTTATTTGTGTGTAGAAACTCAAACAAGATACGGTTACTACTGTTGTGACTCAAAAAAATAGAACACCCCTGGAAAACAGCTACCTATTCAAGAACTAATAAAAGCAAACCAGCAAACACACACACACACACAGGAACAAAACATACAAAGCACGACCGAAGAATAGCAGTTAAAAACAGGCGGGATTGATCCGCATAAGTTGTTAGGCCGCGGCGCTTGCGTGCGATTTCCATGGCCTCATGTCGCTCCGCGAGGCTCGTGGTGTCCTGGGTGGGGCTAGCCCCGTTCAAACACGATTGACAGGCTCGAGTGGATGGCCAAAAAGGTTCAAACTGGGTTTGTTTCAACATACACCAAACTAATTTTCAACATGCGCCAAACAAATTAAACCAATCAAAACGGGTACCCCCTCAAAACAGACTCCCAACTGCTGTTTATCAGAAACATGGACTTCCAAAACAACTTACATCAGTTCACAATCAAACAGTTTCGCGGCTGAGGCCGTGTTTTTGATGGATGTTTTGCAACCTTCCTGCAGAGTTTCCTGTACCCCTATAATATGATGTCTTTGTCCCCTTCAATAAACGATTGCCCTAGGCGATTCGAGGGGTAGCGGGGCCTGGTTTCCTAACAAAAAAATAGCAACCCTTGTTTTCGGGCTGTTTGGATAATTCCTCCAAAGAATCCTATGGGATTTGCTGTTGTTGACAACCTCCTGCTAAGTGCGTTCCCTCTTAAAAAATCCTGTGAATCAGGCACGTGTGATCTTCAGCACGCCCAAAACCTGGTTCCGGGCAATCCCAGGCGAATCGCTGGCAAAGGCATACAGGAGCCCAAGCCACAAGTGGCCCCTGCTGCCTTTTTGCCTTAGGACCCCGGTAGGGCCATCTTGGAAAACTACAACACCAGGCAGTCTGAAAATTAAGATGCGTGTTTCCAATACATACGACATATATCACTTCAAGAAAGAAAAGGTAGATCATGGGAGGGGGGCTGACGATCTATATGCCTATGTATACATGTAACCTTTTGCGGCACCCTTTTCGGGAAAAAAACAACAACAACAACAACAACAACAACACACTTTAACAGCGAATGGGAAGCCATCATTGGCCGTCGAAATTCTCGCCTCGAAGAAGAAGTCCATGAGTTTCGTCATTTCCTCCTCGAAGCCAAAGGAGGAGCCCGCCAGCTTCTGCGATTTTGGCCCGGCTTTTGGTGCCGACATTCGCACCCCCGGCTCAACGGGACGCAGTTGGTTTCAAGGGCTTGAAGGCCAATTTGTGCAAATATTTCAAGAGCAAGCCTTTTCAATGGAAACTTGGGTGAGCAACGGCCGGAATAGGCTGCTCTTGTACTGGACATGCGAGAATTCGTGACCTAGTTAGCCGGCATGTCCCCTCCCAAGCGAACATAAACCGCCGATATGTTGACCAAACTTCAAGGGATAGCGTGTGGGGCATTTTTCGCACGTGACCCAACACAGGTGTCGAAGCTTGCTAAGCGAAGTACGCACAGTGAAAAGGAAGCTACATGCGGCCCCATATAGCAGCAGGTGCGGAAAGCAAGCTGGGACGGACAAGCTGGAATGTGAAAGTGTTCGAGTGGGCCTAAATGCACATAGGGGACACCCAGTGGCAGTGTCAGGAACAAGATGCAAATCACATGCAGAAAGTGGGTTTCATCAGCGCCCGCAGCCTGCCAACTGGATATCGGCGAACTTGACACTAGGATCTCCCGCCTAAACACACCATTCCCTGATTGTCCAATAGGCCGGAGGAAAAGTGGGACTGGTTCTGTAGATGCTGACAAATCAGGATTTGCTTTTGGCCGATCCTCAATAGCTACCAGATTACCTTTCTCGGCTTCCCCTTGCATCATGCGCTGCGCAACGCCCAGCTGATCGCGTGACGCTGGCAAATGTAAGCCTTGAGTAGAGCCACAGTGCCCCGTTGAAAGTGCAGGCAACCAGCACGAACACCCTTGCGGGCAGTACATTGACGGCGTTGCATCACCTTTTAGCACCTAAGGCGCAAACAGCCACCACATATCAGACACGACCCTTGTGGGCAAGCAACTGAGAGTCTAGCAAATTCCATGAGCCTTCGTCAGCATCCTGGCCCACTCACGCTCAGGGCATAGTCAACCAGCTGAGCAGCCTCATCGGCCGCCTTCTGCTTGCCCCGCATTCACAAGCAATCATGAACTCGCCAAAGCCTGTACAGGCGCGCAAGACGCGCAAACAAAACATCTCAGTCCTGAACACAACTGCAAGCGCAAGGTGCTAGCAGGGCCCCACCATTCTGCTATTCCGCTACGGCAAGGGTACCGAAAGCCAAAGCCAGGATGGGCGTCCGAACCGTAGCTGCGGTAAGCAAAAACACCGCTCGCCACCGTAGCCATAGAAAAAACACACCCAAGCATCAAGCACCCAGTGCACACCTTGTTCGGGCACAACTCAGTCTGCACCAACCGCAATCATCAAATCTTCACCTCTGCCCACAGCCACCCAGCCACTTCCGGAAACTCCAGCGGCATTTTGCAGAACACCCAAATGTGCAGGCAGATACTCATGGACACCCATGCTCGCTATGTCACTGCGTCGCACGCCTTCCCACCCAGCAGCGCGCTGAGAAAGCTTTGACGATAAAAAACATCACGTAGTGTGACCACCACCACCATGTTGCCGCCATAAGCGCCCGCCTCTGGGCATTCCCATAGCGGCAGTTCTGGTCATGAGGCAACCAGTTTCTGCGACAAGCCCGTGCCGGCAAGCAGTCCTATCTCACGCGCGTCCAGGCATCATCCAACACGGTGCCGAACAAATCAGCAGAAACAGCACTACCTAGCGCTATAGACTGCCAGACCAGCAATTTGGGACTTTTCACATGCTTCGTCCGGGGCCTTTGACAGCTGATCAGCCGGGGGTCCCTGTGGACGGATAGTCGCTGGTTTTGGCATCTGGCGAGCTTCCGGTAGAAGTCTTTTCGCTAGTTTCTTCGATCGATTTGGACTGGAGCTTGAGACCAATAAGCCGAACCCAGCCGCTGGCTCGCGTTAGCACGCGAAGCTTGCCTCTCGCAGATGCGAGGTTTGGTGAGTCGGGCTGAAAGCCCATCACCGCCCAAGGGACAACAAAAGCATCAAGTCTCAGGATCTGTTTGGAAACATGTCTTTGGACACTAGCTAATCAGAGACCTCTGGCACGTGTGGAGACGAGCAAGCCTTTGGTAGCCTAGTTAAACGCAACTCTCCGAAAACTGGGAAACCAAAGAATTAAGGTCCGTCAAACCCCCTGCACATTAACTAACATGGAGCCCCCAAAAACGTCATGTTTAAATGAATCTCCCTTGTGGGACCCCTATGTTCGGTTCCACGTTTGTCTGTTGGGAGAGCAAACCATTGGGATTTATCCAATGATCCAGAAAGGAAAGCCAAAAGGTTGAACAGCCGATTCGGGTTGAGAAACGGAGCTGCGCCGGTGGCCCAAGACCAACTGGTTGAAAGTATGACTTGCTCAAGGCATCGCTTTAACATGCTTTAACCGTGTTGAAGTGAGTAACGACAAGAGAGAAACCTAACCCAGAACCCCACAAACGGACGGGCAATTTTCAAGATTGCTTATAAGTGTGCCACCTGGCCGTTTCTCACCTCACTTCCTGAGGGGAAACCAAGACATGTATTTGGCAATGTCTTGGGGCCTTCCAAAAACAAGTTTCGCATGCAGGAACTCAGGAAGTGAGCTGCCCTACCCTCTTTGCAGCCCTCGTGCTTGTGGAAATGCGCAATGCGGAGGTTTTTCAAAGACGGTACCCATGATTGTTGGGAAGAACTCAGTGAGCGAGTCACTATGAGCCACGGTCAGAAGCTCCTTGTGTTCCTACAACTAGAAGCACCGTTTGACGGAGCATCTCTTCTGAGCGGTTGACAACACGACCTTCTGCTTACCACTCAAAAAGGTCTCCCCAGAAAGGTTTACAAAGGTGAGATATTCCAAGGCGCTTCCGGCCCCGCCTCATAATCCAACCGAAGGATGTTGGGCTTGGGTTCCTCCATGGTCTCCACCATCGCTTGGATCACGCGCACCAATCGTTTTGCGCAGGTGTTTACGCCTGTTGGCTGCAACATACGGAAAGCATCTCTTGACAATGTATGCTTGAGGATCTGCAGTGCCACTTTCGCCCTGGGCTTCTCGTTGGAACCAAATGGAGCTCCCACACCCGTTTGGGGGGCCCACCTTCCAATTTGGACACATCATGGTTGACACGCGAAGTGTGTAAACAAGAGCCTGGGCAAACAGTCATCTTCCAAGACGTGTCGTGGGTTGGTTGCGCAGGGCTGTCCACAATGGACAAATCCGGAGGACCGTGGTACTGAAAGGCGGTCGCTTTTATACGGAACCTATCGGTTTTACAGGTTCAGACTGATCCAAGGTCTGTGATGCTCCGACCAGTCCTCCAGATTGATCCGAGGTTCACAGACGTAAACATGTTTGGTCCTGGCCTTCTTGTGGTGATTTCAGCATCGTTCCGAGAATCGACGTGAAGTCAGCGTTGGCCACCTCCTCCACAGTCATCAAAGAGCCTGAAGGATCCAGGAGCAACATTGCTTTCCCTTTTTGTCTTCCTGTTGTTCATTTAAAGGGGCGTTAAACGGCAAACTGGAAAGCGGTGCAATTCGTCATCGGAAACGACGTACAGCCAGGGCAAGCCCACGCAAAAGAAAGGAAACCATGAGCAGCGCCAAACTCCCAAATGCTTTAGGGCCCAGCATGGCTATATGCAGCTGTATCTAGGCTTTGGTGTGCGCAAATTATAGTTTTTCAGCGCCCGCTTCCAGCACTATCTCCAGTCCACACCGGCGCATGGCAGTGCTGACGCTGGGGTGGTGGGAGGGTGAGGGGTGGGTGCCCTGTCAATGCATAGTTACACGGCTAGTCAGCTGGCTGGCTAGCTGGTTGACATCTATTTGCTCTACTCTGAAGTAGTTCGCAAAGTTGGCTAGCGCTACCCCACCCACCTCTCACCCACCCTGCCACCCCACACCCCACCCCACACCCCACCACCCCACCCTACAAGCGCAGCACCTAAAGCCATTCAAACGAAGACCGCAGCATCTCCGGCATTCCCTCACAGCCTCACAACAAATCGCAAGGACAGGCTAAAACACGATGTTATCCGCACATAATGGGTGACGGGCCCACTTTCGCGGAAACTGATCACAAGCATGCCCGTACGCGAAGTGCACTTCCGCAGCTCCAGCCCGAAAATCGCAACTTTGCAAGTCTAGGTCGAAAATCGCAACTTAGTAGCGCACGTCTAGTACGTTAGGTACACTTCCGCAGCCCCAGCTCGAAAATCACAACTTTGTATCATCAAAATTAGTTTGGGGAACAGATTGTAGGGGAACAGTTTGTTCATGACTTTGTCCTCTTGGGCCAGTTTTGCGCTCTTGACGGACTCTGTCGGTGTTTGTCGGGTTTTGTCGGTTTTTCTCGGATTTTGTTGGTTGTTGCCGGGCTCTGTTGGCAACCTGTCATTTTCAAAGTTTGGCTTTTGTTCCTGTTCGTTCCTTTATTAGTGCTTGCTGTTGTTGCTGTTGTTGCGGTTGTCAATTGTTAGTTGTGTGACGTGTGTTGCTGCTGATTGTTTGTTGTGTGTTGTTTGATTCTTTGTTTGTTTGCTTCTTTGCTTGTTTGTTTGTTTGCTTGTTTTTTGTTTGCTTGCTTGCTTGTTTGTGTGTTTGCTTGGTTGTTTGTTTGTTTTCTGTTTGTTTGTTTTGGTTGATTGATTGATTGATTGATTGATTGATTGATTGATTGATTGATTGATTGATTGATTGATTGATTGATTGATAATTTGATTGATTGATTGATTGATTGGTTGATTGGCTGCTTAGTTGATTGATTGACTGACTGACTGTTTGGTTCGTTCATTCATTCATTCATTCATTCATTCATTCATTCGTTCATTCATTCATTCATTCATTCGTTCATTCATTCACTCACTCACTCACTCATTCATTCATTCCTTCATTCACTCACTCACTCACGCACTCATTCATTCAGTCATGCATTCATTCATTTCAATCATTGCATTCATTCATTCATTCATTCATTCATTCATTCATTCATTCATGCATTCATCCATCCACCCATCCATCCATTCATTCATTCGTTCATTCATTGGTTCATTCATTCCAGTCCTTCCTTCCATTCCATTCCATTCCATTCCATTCCATTCCATTCCATTCCATTCCATTCCATTCCATTCCATTCCATTCCATTCCATTCCATCCATTCATTCACTCATTCGTTTATTTGGATAGATTTCATATTATGCTATTTCTTTTTGCTAATATATATTCCATTCCATTCAACCGTTCCGTTCCGTTGCAGTCCATTCATTCACTCATTCATCCATTCATTCATTCATTCATTCGTTCGTTCGTTCATTCATTCATTCGTTCGATCGTTCGTTCATTCATTCATACATTCATTCATTATATTTCACTTCACTTCACTTCACTGCATTTCATTTCATTTCATTTCATTTCATTTCATTTCATTCATTCATTCATTCATTTCATTCATGCATTCATGTATGTCTTTCATGTCATGTCATGTCATGTCATCCGTTCATTATACGCGGACGTGATAAACAAATGATGACGATCTGACCGTAATTCTGCGGAGTCTAAAATTGAATACGATCTGACCGTACGTGATACAACCTGATGACGATCTGACCGTAATTCTGCGGAGACTAAATTGCTGACGATCTGACCACAATTTACGCGGACGTGATTAAAATTGATGACGATCTGACCGTCTTTCTGCGGAGACTTAACAAATGATGACGATCTGACCGTAATTCTGCGGAGACTAAAATTGAATACAATCTGACCGAAATTCTGCGGAGACTAATATACATGAATACAATCTGACCGTAATCCTGCGGAGGCTAAAATTGAATACGATCTGTCATTTTCGCGGACGTGAAAGAACGATGACGATCTGACCGTAATTCTGCGGAGACTACTTGTATTGCTGCGATTTTCATTTTTTCGCCCAAAATATTGCATCATCATAAAGTTGTTGACGATCTGACCGTAAATGCGGGTTTTTGCGAAATTTGACGAGATTTTGTCGAAACTTGTCAGAATTTGTCAACATTCATTTTGGTCTGCGGACATGAAAATTGATGACGATCTGACCGTAATTCTGCGGAGACTAAAACTGATTACAATCTGACAGAAATTCTGCGGAGACTAAAATTGAATACGATCTGACCGAAAGTCTGCGGAGACAAAAACTGATGACGATCTGACCATAATTCTGCGGAGACTAAAATTGATTGACGATCTGACAGTTATTCTGCGGAGACTTAAAATTGATGACGATCTGACCGTAATTTACGTGGACATGAAAAAATAATAACGATCTGACCGTAACTTACGCGGACGTGTTAAAAACTGATTCTGCGGAGACTAAAATTGATGACGATCTGACCGAAATTTGTGCGGAGACCAAAAATTGATTGACGATCTGACCGTTATTTACGGGGGCGCGATAAAAATTGATGACGATCTGACCGAAATTTGTGCGGAGACTAAAATTGATGATGATCTGACCGTTATTTACGGGGGCGCGATAAAAATTGATGGCGATCTGGCCGTCATTCTGCGGAGGCTAAACTGGGGTCACCCGGGAAGTTGCAAGCATTTGTATAACTTATGTTACTTACCTAGGAATTTGTAGGGTTTGCAAAAAGGTTAGCTAACCATGCTAAATGACCAAGTAGGCCTCTTGCATGCCAACCAGTTAGCAAACTTAGCTAAAAAGCTAACCTTTTGATTCTTGTGATATTGGGCATGTAAGGTTTAAAAATGAATGGGCCCCGTCACTTGAAAAGAAGCCATATGCGCCTCCCACAAACGAGCCCTGACATTGGAAACCTTGATCCATGACTTTGAGATTTCAAAGCTGTAATGGTGCGCCTGCTTTGTGAATAGCCTTGGGGCTTCCAACTATTTAGAACCATGCCATGCCCTAGCTGCTGCGGGCTTTTTTTCAGCACACAAGCACTTCAAGGTGCGACACTTATTTTCTCATCATAAAAGGCACCAACATTCTGTAGACTCCATCTTGTTCGAGAAAAGTCCACGCCACTGAGCTTTGGATGGTTGAAGACTCAACCCATATTGCACTATCAGCTTTGTTGAAAGTTGCAGAGTATGTCTTGGGGCTGTATTCCACCAAAGCCCACTCAGAAATCAAGCTCATCAGCTTGTCATTGATGTCTGCATGCACCCAGATCTGGCCGGCTTGCTGTTGCCCTGCAAAATGCAAATGTCGCCTTTGTGACAGACACACCCAGAAGATAGCACCAAGTCAGCGCATGTGTGGTACCCTTGTCCACCTGTTTGTGGGCCAAAAACCGTTTCCAGCAAGTCTTTGAGCTTCTTCATTGGCAACTCTTGCTCAGCCCCAATCTTGTAGCAAAGGTACCAACTTGGCCAGGTCATGGGCCAGGATCTCCGCCATCACACTTTTTCAAATGTGATTGTGTTGCTGATGGAGGAGCTGCATCTTTTGACCACTTTGTGTCTTTTTTTCTTGGACAAAGCAGGAGGGCAGCTGGAGAAACTGCTCCAAATGCCTTGGGAAGTGGATCAGCCAGTGAAATTTGGAGTGCATGTTGCCCCCCCCACTTGCAGTCCAAACATGCTTGCAAGAACTCATGGATGGACTGCTTGAGCAAGGCTGGTGTGATGCACCCATGAGGCACAGCCTGGATGCAGTCCAGCACATCTGCCAGGAACACAAATAAATGCAGCGCACTCCTTGAGGCAGCAGCCTGCTGGAATAACCACGGCTTGCAAAAAGAATGCAAAAATTGGATACAAAGTAAGGCCTTCACTTGCTGTGCATTTGCATGTGTTGGCCTGTTTGTTTGCAGTCTTCCTTTTGCTTGTAAACATGAACTTCAACTTCTCGTGCCTGTTGGCAGGCAGTTGCCAGGCATCCATGTAATTGTGCAACACGCTGTGCACATCTTTGTTGAAGAGCCTCTCCACGCTGGTGAGCATCAAGAACATGCATGTTTGCAACACACCTTTAGCCAGGAAGGCATGCATCCAATCATGCAGCATTTGCCCCAGAGGAAATACAATACCATCCATTCTTGGATCAAGTATCTGAGCTTTTGGATTATACACAAACCCTGTGGCCTGTTGCCACAAGGCAAAATCATTCTTGCTCATGGCTGTGGAATTGTGCTTCAATCTCCCCAGTGTGCCAGTCAAACTCTCACCTGTTGCAAAAAATGTAGAGCAAGTGAGAAGTTCTTTTCCTTCTCCAACCAAGGCTGACCTGTTGCTCATCAGGTTTGTGCAATAAATGCAAAACTTTGTTTCACACTGTGGGCAGCCCCATCTTGGAGCAAAGCCCCCAACTCAAAAAATAGTCTGTCAGGCCCACCACTGTTGCCCTTCAACTTGATACCAGCAGTCTGCACAAAACAATGGCCATGGTGAAAGATGTAGTCCAGCAAGGCAGTTAGCAAGGCAGTTAGCAAGGCAGT